ATATATAAATATATAAATTTATATATTTAAATATATAAATCAAAATTCCAATGCAAAACAGTAGCTCTGGTTGCACTGTAGCAATATAAGTTCCTAATACATTAAATACTGAAAAAACCTTCAAATTTTCTTTGGGCATTAAATCACGTTCTGGATTAAATAGTCTCTTTTCTTTTTGGGTAAAGGTCAAAGCTAGTTTTTACATATGTAAGTAAAAATAATCAAATAAATAACTATTTTAAACTTTTTCCTTTGTCTCTGATTAAACCATTGTGATTTTGTCCTTTAGATTCCTCAATTTACTCAGTAGTTTCCATCCCTCTTAATTTTCTTGTCCAGATATAAAATCCCAAAAGATGCGTAGTAAAATATTGACTTGGTCTTATCAATAATACTGCAATACTAAGACACAAACCAAGGATACTTAATGTTATCAGTATAACAACTCACATTTAAGCAGTGATAGCTGACAATATAGGATACAACATTCCAGCTGTTTTATTTTTTTTAAATAAAATAATACCTTATTTTATTTGTATTCCACCAGCATGAATACATTCATTGCAAATTGCATGCACATAAAAGGGAATCAATTTGTAAACTACATAATATCTTAACAATAAATAGTATTTGATCTAATACATGATGGTAGTGCATTTCTTGTTAAAACTGCAAGCGTTTACCAAAATGAAAACAAACTCTTATTCTCCTTATAAATATTTTAAATAATTTTTAAGTACATGTTTCATACCAAGTATATAAAAATAGTATTTTTAGATAAATTAAGAGGTTTCATTTACATGACAAATAACGTGCAACAACTAACCACTCTCTACCAGCTCTGTTTGGTTGATTGTCTAGATGACATGCAGCGATAATTGTCCCTTTGCCTTCACAGAACTGACAAACAGACCAGCAGGACCCATGATCACCTGAAGCAAGCAGTGCCATAGATATTGTTTGGGAACAACAGTCAGACACTCAGGGAAAACCTTTGCTTCGATGAACAAAAGCCACCCATGACAGTTCTTTTGTCCTAGACTTCCAGCTGCTCTGACCCTCAGGGTCTTTGGACTATCACAAAAGTCTGCCAAACAGACCAGTAAGTTATATCTGTATACAAAAAGCTTTTCAACATGCTTCTAGAATCTAGAAATTTTTTTTCCCTATAGTATGAACCACTAATACCTGTTCTTACTTTCTGTAAATCTGAATTTTCATGTTTGTGAGTCTCCATGATCGCCAGAGAAAAGGTCAAATAAAGCAGTCATGCAGCACTCTCTAAATTTAAAACTGGCAGCTGCGGAACATGCTTCGAGTACTAGTTCACTGTTTCTCATTATGCGTCTATGGCTTGGTAGTCTTTATCTTTAACGTCCCTTGTGCTTGTCACAATGTCTATCGGGAAATCTGGGGTCGGTGCAGAAACTACTCCGGCTGTTCCTTCCAGGTCCCATGATCCCGGCAGGTTCTCAAGGCTTAGTGAGCTGATTGCTCCTTGGCTAAAGCTACCTTCCTCAGATCTGCTGGGGAGCACGAGGTGTAATGATGTCTCTGATGAAGAGCATACTGAAGAAGAAAGAGTTGCTGAAATAGACTGAAGAGGAGTCAAGGTAGCATCTGAACGGGGAGAGGTGCATCTTAAAAATTGCAAATTGTCTTTCTGAATTACCTGATACTGGGAGGGGGAATTGTGAAGGCCTGGTGTGTAGTAAAATTCACCATCCATAGAATTTTGCAGGTTGGGTTCAGTTCTTTGGGGACTGCTGCCTACAGAGGACAGATCTGCATTCCGAATGTCACATAATGTGTTGCTGTGGCAAAGTTGTGCTTTGGTGCAACCTTGCATGTGCGTCCAAGGTTGATGTGTAGTCCAAGCCATTCGAGACTGCAGACTTTCCAGGGTAGGACTTCGAGATATGCCGTGCACAGCACAGAACCCTGGAGGCTTCTGGGATGTGAGCAGGTTCTCCAGAAGGTGCATCACGTTCTTCATATCCTTACTTAATTGTGAGACTTCTTGAGTTAAAGTGGTCACCTGTTATGGCAGGGCAAAATATCACAGTATTTATTTATGCAGTCATGCCTGAAATACATACGTACATATCTTTTTTTCCTTCTAACAATATCAGCTTTGATCTGTGGCACAGTGTCTTTACTTTAAAGAAATATACTCTACTAATATATGTGTGGGAAATAGTCCATCCATCTACCTTACCACAGCTACATGTTACACTTCCTGTGGCATATTGAAATAATTAAAACAACTTAATAAAAACATAAGATGGAAACTGTAGGGGTAATTCACCTGATTTTAAATGATACTCTCTATATAAAGAATGGCCTTAGGGTCAGAACTGAGATGATTTCCAGTAGCAATATGACATCAATAGCTTCTTGATCAATCATTAAATATTTTAATGCATAAACCTTTTTTGTTAACCCATTTTATACCGATGAATGATATAAAAATGAAGTCTTGTGAAATCTTGTTCAGAAATACACGTGAAATATCCTGCTGTCTTCCTAGTAAAATAAAAGAAACCCATACCCGAAGTTGTCAGATGCAAGTACTAGTTACATGAAAATCTGGTAGACTACTACGAAAAACAAAAAAAAAAAAAAAAAAAAAGAAACTGGAACCTCTAAAAACCACTTGCTACCTCTAAACATTTAAACAATATAAAAACCTCTGAAACAGTTTACTTCCCTGTAGTTATGTTTATGCTTGAAAGGTGTTTCATATAACACTAAGAAAGATAGTAATCCATAGCATAGATTACTCTGGTGTGTGTGCAAAAGGAAGAATCATATTTTCTATTAGACCTTTTTTTTAATACTGAAACCACTGATAGCATCCAATGAATTACATGAAGGCTTTAATCTTACAAAAATTGCTGGTTTGGGTGGGGAGCAGATTGACAGGTTCTGAATTTGTGATTTAAAGTAAATTGATATATGAACATTAATGGGGACGTTTGTTAGGACATTATAAGGACATTGTGGGAAATGAAAAGCCTAACTCAAACATAAAAGCGACCCACTCACCATTTCAAATGTGTTTGTCTTTCCTTTTTCCTTCTTAAGGAAAAGTTTGTAGGAAGTTAAAATCAGTCAATTATTTTTAATAAAGAGAAATGAACCTAATCAGAGGTAGAAATGAACTTTGTCTCCATGGTAGCTAATCAATCTATTTTAGGTCAAACCACTGTCATTACTGTTAAAATAGAGTTTCTCATACTGATGCTAGTGAAAATACTCTGTTGAAAAAAAGACATGACTGCACATTTATCTTCAGAAGGATAAAACACCTGTCAAAAAGAAAAAAGGCTAATTCAGGGGGCCTTTCTTTGCCCTGAAGTAAAGACACCACCTATTAGGTGCCCTACACAGATCAATCTTCATGTAATCAGAAATAGAAATACAATTTTCATTTTTCTGACAGGAAAGTTCCAAAGAAATCTGCTGAAAAGATATTTCAGGATAAGTTTGACTGCGTTAGTGCAGGCACAATAATTATAAAGAAATTCCAAGTTAGAAGGAAAGTAGGAAGCTCCAATACAGCTCCTATACATCTATTTGTTTCTCTCTGAGCTAAGAGTTCAAACCCATCGTGTTGTTTAATTGTTTTGTAATAATGATCACACTACCCCTGGAGGGAAAATGCTTAAAGGGAGGAGGCTCTTGAGTGGCACATTACAGGATATCTCTCTGTCTGTCTCTCCACCTTTCTTTCTTTCTGCCGTGTTACCTAATTAAGTCATGCTAGATAGAAAATAACCAGGAGATCTCCTTCTGCCAGCTGAGATTAAGCTTTGAATGCCTGGTAGCTCATCTGGACTTCAGTTAAGTGAGGGATTAAAATATGTTAGGAAAGTGAGTTGCGAACAGGCTTCCTGTGGGGTCAGAGGAGCTAAAGAAGGTTCTTGGTACTGTCAGACTGTAAGGAAACACGTTGTGAGATTTCTAGATGAATCAACCATGCAAGAGCAACTGTGCTCCAGTTGAACTGGGAGATGGCATTGCAAACCTCCAAAGGCTTCTTTGGGAAGAAAGGGGGAAGAAGGACAACCAAACCCATGGCTACCTAGATTCAGTGGTCATCCGTTCTTTTTTAGGATAATCACTGCCTCTGCTCCTAGCAGATAAAGCAACTTTGTTTTCTGTGCCTAATTTCCCAACTTGAATCCATTTTACAGGGCTTTCTGCAGTCGTGCAGATAGGAAGATTGATACTACCTTATGAGTAAGCACCTTACCCAAACTGTGAATGCTGTGTGAAAATATCTGCAACTTTAAAATATCTTCTTTGGTTTGGTCCAAGTTTTTCTGTTCCGTTTCTGATAACTTAAAGACTTTTTAAAAGTTTAATTATTCTTTAACATGTTTCTTTTGCCAATTCATTGAGGCAATACAGCAAAAGTCAATCCCAGCATCAATACTTGTGGCAGTCCTGAATCTCTGTTAATTACAACTTGCTTTTGTGCCCAGATACTATTTTTGATATATCAGCTAGCTGTTAGAGTGCTGTCTTCTCATAAGCTTGCTCCACACAATCATAGGAACTGACCTGATAAACCAGCCTTTGATGTATGCTTTAATAGTTTCCAGTAGCATGATAGTTAAGATCCAAAGTTTTTGTGCCAAACTTCGTTAGAAATTGACCACCATTTAGTAAGATCTATTTGGACCAATTCTGCTCGACACATACGCAAAGCAAATAGGTAATTTTCTGGATCATGTAAAACCTTTTTTGGCTTTTGCAAACTGTTAATCTTATCAGTTTAAACCTCCAATATCTGTACTACTATTACTTACCATCTATCTCTATATTATTATATTTATATACTTACATAGTATACTGTTACTATCAATAATATACTGTTTATGCTATCCTTTTTACATCCTGCAGAGATTCTTGAACAGATGCAAATAAGCAGGTGTAACAGGGAACAATTTTATCAATGATGTTAACTATTTCACAGTGCTCCAGAAAGTGCAAAAGAACAGAGATTAAAAGCAAAAGAAATTTTAAGTCTGTGAAACAGAAATTGAAAGCAGTACAGTTTCCTCCTGAGCGAAAGGACTAATTCCTTGCATGCTGGTAAGGCTATTCTCTTTTCAGGAGTTCAGTGATTATTGCTAGGCAATACAGCTAGTTGTACAAATGGTTCCCGCTGCGCTAGGCAGACAGCTTTAAAATGATCTGTGAGATCCCAAATATACTTGAAATGCTACCTTAACAGTTTCTAGGACTTGAAAAAGATACTGCAATGTTTCCTGATATAGAAACTGGGATTTATACAGATTTAGCTTGAATTAGCAAGAGGTGCTTCTCAGGCTGGTCAAAAGCAATGTGCTGGTATCTTTTTAGCAGACTCTGTTATAAAGAAAGAATATATTTCAAAACAGAGATTAAAAAAAAAAAGTCTTATAAGGAGTGGCTGAGGGAACTGGGGTTGTTCAGGCTGGAGAAGAGGGGGCTGAGGGGAGACCTTATTGCTCTCTATAACTACCTGAAATGAGGCTGTAGCGAGGTGGGTGTTGGGCTCAAGCAATAGGATGAGAGGAAATGGCCTGAAGTTGCAGCAGGGGAGGTTTAGATTAGATATTAGGAAAAATTTCTTCACCGAAAGGGTTATCAAGTATTGGAACAGGCTGCCCAGGGAAGTGGTTGAGTCACCATCTCTGGAGGGATTTAAAAGACGTGTAGACGTGGCGCTTAGGGACATGGTTTAGTGGTGGACTTGGCAGTGTTAGGTTTATGGCTGGACTCGATGATCTTAAAGGTCTTTTCCAACCTAAATGATTCTATGATTCTATGCAGGAGCAGAAGAAAATTTTGCTGGTTTCTCTGCTGACTTGCTAGCCAGCTCACAGGTAGTTCGAGGGCAACCAGTCTGTCTGGGTAAATTAGGACACTAAGATTATTGCTATTGCTATTAAACAAGTAAGGACAAAATAGGAAAGTATAAAGGACTATATAATTTAAGTGTATTCAAGTCAACAGGGCCCCCCATGAAATTCAGTCTAGAGAAAGGGTTCCCAAACTGCAGTTCTAATAATAATTTGTGGCTCTTCATTGTTGGATATGGATGCTGCCTTCAGGTTGGCATAGAATCAGGACAGTGTCAGCCTGATGGTGGCAGTAAGAAAACCAGGTTTGGAAATTACTGCTTCAAGGACTTCGGAAAGTATCAGGGACAAACTCTGACTTTGACAAGCTACTGACTTTGAGAGCAACTGGAGGATCATGGAAATCCCAGGTGCTAAGAGAAGAGAAGCTGTTAACATGTACTGTTGAATGAAAGCCTGAGGTGGTAATATATAATATTGGGCAAAAATATTAAGCAAACAATTTCTATAAGTGCCTAAGGAAATAGTTAAAAGAGAACATAAATTAATTAGTTAAAAGATTTAATTAGTTAAAGAGAACATAAATTAGTTAAAAGAGAACAACATAAATTTCTCAAGAGTAAGCCATGGTGAAACAATCTAATTCTCTTCTTTAACTGAATAACTGGTTTAACAGATAAGAATAAACTGTAGATGTAATATATATCTTGTCAGTAGACTACTTAGATGTTACTGTCCGCATGACATTCCTCTAAACCAACTAAGAAAATGTGACTGAGATGTAATCACTGTGAGCTGGATTCACACATGATTGGAATGCTTTATAATCAGTGGTTTGCTGTCATCTTGGGAGGACATTTCAAGCCATTCTTTTTAGCAGTCTATCCTGATCTGGTTTTATTTAATATTTATTTTTAGTGGCTAAATCAAATTCATGTTCACTTTTAAATATCAGTAATATGAAATTCAACAAAGAGAAATGTTAAACATTACATCTGAAAAGAAAATGTCAGAGGCATGAATATAATACTCTGCCTATGCGGAGTATTGTAGAAAAATGTCTGAGGATTTTCACTGAATCACACTTTGCATGCATTAATCATGCTCCCAGTTTTCTTCACTAGGAATGACTTAGGCTGGTCCCTAAGTGTACTTTGTCAGTGACTTAAAAGATCTAACCAAA